GTTTCTAGTGTACAGTGAACTTCTGCATTCTAAAAGGCCATATATTCATGGAGCAACAAGTGTGAAAGCAAACTGGCTTGTTAAATACGGTCAGTCCATGTGCAGATTTTCAGCCCCACTTTCTGAGCCGTACTATGACCCTTTGACCGACCGGGTTTTATGCTGGGTTATTCCTTATTTTGGGCCTCACCGGTGGGAACTCCCACAGCATTCTCTGCCCATCGAAGACAATATGAAACGAGTTGCAGTTTTTGCCTATGCATTGCTTGAAGGTCAAGTCTTGCCATGTTTGAAGCCCGTGAGGGAATTTATGGTGCCCACACCGGGTAACTTTTTGAGACCTGAAGCATTGGGAGTGAAACGGGTCGGGAATCTCTTGAATAGATTGAAGAGTAGTAGAGTGGGAAGTATTGACAGTTGGGTCATGCTTAAGAAATTATGGGAGATTAACCCCAGGGAGTTGTTTCCAGAAATAATGGATTGGTTTCAGAAACGGTTTCGTGACCAGTTTGAAGCTCTTTGGGAACAGATGCTTGTAGAAATACATTTGGATCCACAGCAACGTCTGTCCCAGAAGGTCAAGAAAAGGAGAAAGGGGCCCTCATAAAGTCCTAAGCTTTGCTCGCCTCTGGTTACAGACGAGGCCACACTAGAGGGCAAGGGTCTCACCCCTCACAGTGGCCTCACCACAAGTTTTGATATCTTTTTTTATTTTATTTTATTTATGTTTTTTTAATTTTAAATACAACTGTTGAAGAAGAACTTAATATTATTGAAATTAAAGTATTAGTGATTTTATGAATTATAAATCTGAAATTTCATGATGAATTGATGAATCCCAGACTCCCAGTTCAGCAGAAGCCTTTTTGGGCGTGAGTAACCTTTTTTTTTGTAACCATATACTCTCTCCATCCTCTCTCCATCCCCGAAAGAAGTTCCCACTTTCCTTGTTTGGATGTCTCTAATTTAAGTTCCCATTTCCTTAAATGGAAAGTTATCTACATAAAAAAACAATTCAAAACAATGTCAAACAATGCCAAACAATGTTGAAACAGTGTCAAAACAGTAAAATTTATCCCTGATAAGTTTACTTGCATAAAAGATGTGTGAAAGTCAAATGGGGAACTTCTTTCGGGGAAGGAGGGAGTATATTCAGTGCAAAATACAGTTTCCTACTTTCCTTTCATGTTTCAAGTCCAATGCGTTTATGTAAACTCTCATTGTAGTTTTTGTCATTTTTTTTAGTAAGAATAACCAGAATTTTATTAAAAGTGAATAAGAAGAGTACAGAAATATGAAAAAAAGAAACAAGAACGCAAATGAGTGAATAATCCAAAAAGGCCCTGCAATTCCTAAAGTAAAATGCTTAGCTCCCCGTCGAGATGTACTCAGTTACCCGAAAGAGATGAAGTCCCCAAAATATCCAAAAGCTAATCCAGCAAGCAGAAATGGCCCTATGTTTCAGCCAATTTTTAGCCTTGAGATGGGCACTGCGTCGAGGTAGCAATCTAGAACTGGCTGAGTCCCATTCAGTATCAGCAACGCGGTCAAGTAACTCACGATCATAAAGTGATAGTTGAATAGGCGTAACTTCAAGATTGTTACTACCCGAAGCATTAGGTTCCAAAATTGCCGTCTGAGGAGAAACTAATCCATCCGCTAATAGTTTGGAGTGAGGTGAATAAGAAACTCGAAGAGGAGTAGTTTCAAGGATACTATCAATATCTTATTCTGTAGTTTTTGTCATTTATAACTAATTTATCATTAAGCGATAGCAAAGATACAAGAGAATGAATAGCATGAAGCTACAATGGGATGAGACATAGAACAAAACAGATTCAATGAATCCTTTCAGATTGCTAACCCCACATTAGTGGTGGACTCGGGCTGGGTGGCCCGACCCAGAACCGGCCCGCGATCGGCACTGTTCCGGCCCGGCCCTAACCGGTGGCCCGGCTAGTGACCTGTCCAGGTAGGCCCGACCCAAGGGGTTTCCGGTCCGGGCTCGGGTCACCCAAAACATGAATCGGCCCGGCCGGTCCGAGCCCGGTTCTGGGCTTAATTTTTTTTCATTTTTTTTAAATCCTCGGGTTGGGCTGGGTTTTTTGGGCCATTTGGAGTGGTTTGGGGGGTTGGGGTGGGGGGGGGGGGGGGTCGGGGGGGTAATTAGAAAAAGGGAAAAAATTGTAAGAGGGTCGGTGGCTACCCGGGCCGGTCCCGAGCCCACCTATTCAAAACCGGCGGCCCGCTCGGGCCTAGGCCCGACCCGGACCCAACCCGGCCCGAATCCACCCGTACCCGCAATAATGTAGTCTAGTCTAACAGCATTGCTCATCTTCTTGCTATTCCAAAGAGGAATTAAAAAATTACAACTAAAAGATCCGGCTTCACCCGTCACCAGAAGGGAGAATTGGTTTGAGCAGCAACCAACAAAGGGAAATTAGTCGAGCGGAAATTTCTTGAAGCATCGGTTTGACCAACAAAGGAGATCCGCTTGATCATCTTCTTCTTCCCAGAGCGAGGAGTAGGGATGGACTCGGGCCGGGCCAACCGGCCCGGAACGGCCCGCTACTGTGCGGGCCCGGCCCGGCCCGGCCCGGTAAACCGGTTCGGTTCCGGTTCGGGCCTCCCGGCCCGGTGGTATACCGGTCCGGGCCCGGGCCTCCAGTTTAGTGAACCGGCCCAGCCGGGCCGGGCCCGGTTCGGGCCGGAATTTAATTTTTTTTTTTTGAATTTTTTTTAAGTTTTGGGTTGGATTAGGTATTTTGGGCCATTTGAGGTGGTTTGGGGTGGTTTGGGGTGGAGGGGGAGGGGCAGGGGGTTAAATAAGAGAAGAAGAAGAAGAAAAAAAAAAAACATTCCGGGTGGCCCGGCCCGGCCCGGCCCGGCCCGGTTCTGGCCCTGAACCGGAACCGGAACCGCCCACCACCGGTTCGGGCTCGGGCCTCCTTTTTCTGAACCGAGGCCCGGCCGGGCCCAGGCCCGAACCGGAACCGGTCCACCCCTAGCGAGGAGGTGGTTCAGGTGGTGGGCGAGTATTTGAAACCTCAGAAACACAAAAACCTCTAGACATTGCTAGGAGAATAACATACCACACGCTTCCATGAAGCGGACAAAATTCTCGGCCAACGAAGAATCTGGACCAAATTCCTTGAAAATAGAAATTGAAAAAGAGCGAATGCATAGAAAAACCTTTTATTCGATCTTTCATTGCATAGAGAATGTCTTCATCTTCCAAAATCGGATCTTGAAGGAGGATGAGGGTGGCCGCCTAGGGTTTCCCCTAGGGCGGCTCTTAGACGAGTAGAATTTAATTTTTGTCATTTCATAAAGCCTTCAAAGTAATTTTTTTTTTGAAAGAAGCCTTCAAAGTAATTACGTATAAGCAAGTTAGCAGTACTTTTAGGCCATACTCCCTCCATGACTACATCCTTACAAATAAAATCTACATTTAAATTTTTTACAAAGTTGCAAAAAAAAAAACAATTTTGATAAAAGGTTGGATCTATAAAGTTAGAGATTAAGAATTATTTGCGTTGACGATAGAATAGTAACCGACTAGTTTATATAGGGACTGAGTTAGTATTTGGTATGAAGTACTTTTTAAAATGCAACATACCGTTTACAAAGTTGCAAAAAAAAAAAAACAATTTTGATAAAAAGTTGGATATATAAAGTTAGAGATTAAGAATTATTTACGTTGACGATAGAATTATGTTACAAGACCTACAATAAAATGCACAATTTTGTAAAATATGTGCAACTTTTAACTAAAGTGGTTTGCTTTCAAAAGTATATCTCTACTGGGAATTACTTCCACATAAAAGTTCAGAAATCTTTGAAGAGGCATGATAAAATCTATTTAGCTTCCTATTATTAAATCAACAAATTAAATATTTCTTTTCAATTAAAATTGTGCGGTAAATGTTTCTTTTCAATTAAAATTGCTGATGCATTGTTGTACTAAGAAGTAAGAATTGATGTTGTGATAGATGAGTAAGTGAAACATGTCGAAGAATGCTTTAGACATAAAATTGGATAAGGATATACATAAATGATTATTGGGTGGGCCATCAAAGTTTAAAATTACTCTTTGTCCTGTACTTAGTGATATAGGTTTCTTATAAACTAAAGAATAGTTTACTTTATTTATACTTATATAGTTGGTTTCTTAGTGATATAGGTTTCACTCAAATTTTCTTTTCTTTGTCAGGTTCACATATGCTGTATATCATCCGAAGGTTTAGTATCCTCCCCTTATATTTGCATAGTTTAATAAATGACATTTATGTTTTGTATCTTAACCTATCTTATAAAGGCCAGTTTGTGGTATTAAATGTTCATGGTTTGTCATAGTTAGGCTTTAAAGTGTAGTATCATGTGCTATCTTTATTGTCTCGTATAACGTCTCTTAAAATTCCAACCACACCGTCCAATTCTACAACTAACGGTGTTAACTTTGATTACTACTACATGCTTATTTGTGTTTAATGACACTTACTCCAGGGTATATCATCTATGGAGTATCTGCTATCATTTTTATTTGACTCTTGATTTCTTCAATGGCAACATATTTCGATTTTTAGTTTAATTTTTGTGTGGATTTGCTATCTTCATTTGAACTCATTTTTCAACCAAAAACATCATACGATCCACACATCTCCGTTCAAGATGTATCATCTCTCATCATTTCATCAATTTAATTTTACATTCGGATTTTAACTTTTTACAATTTCAATATCACGATCAGAAAATTCTAAAGTATCTTATGTAGTTATGCAGCATAAGATATGCTCTACAAAACTATTTCAGCCTTCTTCCTGAGTTCTTTCCATCAGTTAATGAGTTAGATTACATTTTAAATATTTTTTGCTCGAAGGCTATTTCTCTAAATTTTGCAGTGCTTGTATTTTACGAATGTAAACTTTGACAGAGCATAAATTTTGCTGATTAGCTAATGTAAATTGAAATGAGCTGCTTGAATTGGTCCAGCCGTTTTTTGGTGATAAACTAGCAATCTCATTAAAAGAGTAAATCGTTCAACAACTGGTTTACAACACGATTAGGAATAGAATCCTGGTTAAAACTAAGACCTGTCTGAAAAACGCTCGCCCTTGCAAGAGCATGAGTTGCACGATTAGCAGATCTACCACAAAAGGAAAGAGAAAAAAGAGGATTCTCTTCTAAAAGAAGCCTAATATCATCAATCCATAAATAAAGGTAGGATAAACCGCCCTGATGTCGGAGTGCTTGAACAACCGTCAAAGCATCCATCTCAAAATCCACCTGATTCCATCCTGCCCGTTTAGCCCAAACAATGGCCGCCTTTGTTTCTTCCAGCCGTTATATCCATAATGATGCTTAATATTTTGGATTAGCATTAAAGTCATGATTTCCGTTTCATGCATTTGACGAACATCAAATTCTGATTTCCGTTGAAAACAATCTGCTGCATCTCTATTTGTACTTCGTATTTGTACTCTTCTTTCCCACTCAATAACCTTTTGTTTATTAAGGAGCATTTGAATTGCCTTCCTTGATCCATATTGCCTCTCCTCCCCCCCCTCCCCCCCCCCAAAAAAAAAAGAATTATTTGTTGTAGATCATATCCTTTCAATTAAATCTATTAATCGGCAAATTTGGCAACGGTCGAAGGTTTCAGTCAAGGTAGATACAAGTCTGAAACATGGTAAGCTTATCCTGGGAGCGAGCTAGCCAGACAAGAATAGCTATCGGGATACGGGGGCTATCTTTCTTCAAGGCCAGTCCATTTTAACGGGCGATCCTGCGATAAGTTTTCTTATCTTTACTCTTTGTTTATTTTAACTTATTCTAATTATTATTATTATTATTTTCTTTTCTTGCATTTGGCGGTTTGTCTGGTGATTTGTTTAAACTCGGGATTTTTATCTGGTTAAACTCGCAATTATAATATTATTTTTCTAACAATCTTGAAGAAAGATATTATTTCTCGAGTTTTGGAAAATCCAAAATGGCAAACTTGGAAAATGCTGTTAACAATGAAACTGTTGGTTTAGAGGACACTTTTGTTGCCCCTGAAAATGGTAATTATGTGTCTGTCACTAATTCACAAGGCACACCTGAATATATTGCTACGGGCTCGCGCAGGGTGGATTTAACCGGAATGTCCGAAAAAATTTCTGGACATTTTTTCAAGCGTTGGCAACAACACATGAAAATTTGGTTAATTACCAAGGGCTTGCTTTCAGTGATTATGACGGTGTGTCCTTCAGTTGTCGAATCTGATCCCAAAAGCCTTGAACGTCATGCAATTTGGCGTGAGAGGGACGAAATTGCAAAAGACATGATTCTCATGGGTTTATCCGACATGTTATTTGATGTCTATTGCACCCTCCATGGGACGGCCAAAGACCTTTGGGATGAGTTGGATAGAAAATATAATACCAATGATCACGGTCTTGAAAAATATGTTGTTTCTAAATTCCTACGATTTGACATGAAAGAAGGAAAACCGGTTTTAGAACAGACACAAGAATTTGAGCTTATCTTACATTCTCTTCGTGAAGCGGATATGGAATTGCCTGAAAAATTTAAAGTGATGGCGGTCATAGAAAAATTTCCCAATTCATGGGAAGATTTTGGTATGACTTTAAAACATAAAATGAAAAAGATCACTTGGAAATCTTTGATGCATTCCATTACTGTTGAGGAGGAACATAAAAAAGCGGGTTATATTGTGCCTGTTGAATTTCAACCGAAGGCTCATGTTATAACTGGGGGGAAAGCAAGCACATAACTCAAAAAATAAGCAACCATCATCTTTTAAACCATTAAAGGCCAAATTAAAAATTGCAAAGAAACTAAAGACAAACTGACCATGTTGGAATTGTGGACAGATGGGGCATTGGGCCAAATTATGCCCAAGTAAAAAGGCCAAGGCTCAATCTGGTGGATCTCAAGTTAACGTGGTGACTGGAAGAACTAGTTCCGATGGGTATGTTTCTATTAGTCCTCAAATTTTCACTATTTATAATTCCAATGAGTGGCTAATAGATACAGGAGCGAATGTGCATGTACGTGCTGATAAATCGCTCTTTGTTTCTTATCACCATGTGGTTGGAAGAACAATGATGATGGGGAACACAAGTGCTGCAAGTGTGCAAGGAATTGGAAACGTAGAAATAAAATTCCCTTCGGGAAAAATTCTATCTTTGCATGGAGTGCATCACGTTCCCGAAATTAGAAGGAACATCGTTAGTGGTTCCATTCTAGTTAGGGAGGGTTATGAGTTGTCTTTTAAATAAATTAAATAAAGTTGTAATTTTATTTGGTGGAACTTTTATTGGCAAGGGTTACTTATCTGATGGACTTTTTAAAGTTATGGTTGATTATTTAGAATTAAATTATGTATCTGAGAATTGTGATTCTTCAACTTTATGGCATTATCGTTTGGGTCACGTTAATTTAGATTCTGTGAAAAGAATAATGAATTTAAATTTAATCTCCAAACACTCTATTGATAAAACTAAGAAATGTATGGTATGTGCTACTACTAAACAAGTAAGAAAACCGTATCATTCAATTGATATAAATTTAGAATTACTTGATTTTTTTTCTCGTTATTACTTGATTTAATTCATACCGACATTTGTGACTTTAATGGAGTGATTACTCGTGACCAAAAGAAATACTTTATCACTTTTATTGATGATTATTCTAAATATTGCTTTTTTTATCCCGAAAGGCAAACCACCAAAATCAGTGGGGCAAATGCCGGGGAACATTTGCCGTTATTTTATAAATAAAGCAGAAAAAATTACAAGAAGAGAGGGGGACCGAACCAAAACCTCTCTAGAAGAACATCAAAACACCACAATTACACAAGGAAAAAAAGAAACCAAACCACAGACCAAACTTTACCCATGGTATAAAAAAGAATATTACGAAAAGAAAACAATTTAAAGATATCTAATAGAAGCCAATCCTAATTTATCAGCCAAAATTGATTTACGAATTGAATTAGGAAGTCCAGTAGCCCGAAAATAGGAAATAGCATCTCCCCCTTCTACAGAGTACCTGGACATGAGATGGGCATGCCGATTTGCCTCCCGATAGACGTGTCTGTAGGAAACCGACCAATCCATAGACCACCTCTTCAAATATTCCACCGTTTTCCTCCATCTACCTCCAACTTCATCCGAGAGTAAGGAGATAGCCGTCTGCGAGTCCGATTCAACCTCAAAACTCCTATATTCAAGCTCACCTGCCCAAGTGACTGCGGAGTGGAGCGCCATAAGTTCTGCCTCGTTGGAAGACCTTGCCTCCAATGGGAAATGACAACCAGCCAAAAAATCACCAGACCGAGACCTCAGTACCGCACCACCAGCTGAACCAGAAGAATAAAACGAGGCATCGACATTCAACTTGAAAGCCAACCCAGGTAATTCCCATTTGATAATCTGAATTTTTGGCTTTCGAGATTGGAATGATCTGGGAATTAGGTGTTCCTCAAACAAAGTCTGAGGGATAAATTTGTTGATGGATTTCAGTCTAGCTAGGAACCAATTTTGAAGGAAAGCCCTGATTTGAAGAATCATAGAATTATAGGAAATTAAGGCATTTCCATCCCCCCAAATCAGTGAAGAATAGAGTTTCCAAATATGCCAAGCTATGATTCCGGGAAGGTTATGTTTATAGATATCCTCCATAGATTTAGATCCTTCTTCTAACCACCAAGACAAAAAGATTTGTCTAATAGTAATAACACCTGTAGTAATAGGTATATCAAATATACCCATGAAATGGTTCCAAATGTTTTGAGCAAAATAACATTGATATAGAACATGGTCCATAAAGTCTGACTCCTTTCTGCAAATAGGGCATATAGAAGGGAGGATAGTAACATTAAACCGAGCTCTATTATCTGAGAAAGGCATAAACCTGTGAAGAACCTTCCATTGAAAAATCTGAATTTGGACTGATTGTTTTTTATGTCAGGAATGTTTGAAGGAGAAAGTTGAAGATTTAGACCACCTAACAGACTGAAAGGCTGAGGAGACAGAGAAGCAGCCATTGGCCTCAGGTACCCAAATACATTCACCATTGTGTAGAGTAGCTATTAAGGACATACCAGTATCATGGACAGAGCATATTCTTTTCCATATATTTGAATCCATACTTCTAGGAACCATGTCTTGCCCCCTAGGGTATCTATGATGACAAAAAGAAGCCCATAAAGAAGAGTTGCATTTCCAATTCCACCATAGTTTAAGAGAGTATGCTTTTTCCATATCAATTAAGGACCTTAGTCCCAAACCACCCTCAGAAGTAGGTAGACAAATATCCTTCCACCGAATCCAATGATATTTGTTATTAAGGTTAGACTGCCCCCAGAAAAAGTGTGTCATTTTCCTCTCTAAAATCTTAATGATAGTCTTGGGCAGTTTGTCAACAACAAGAACATGTTGAGGGATTGTGTTCAGGACATGTTTAATCAAGATAAGTTTACCCCCCTGACTTAAGTTCCTTTGATTCCAAGCAGTGAGTTTCTTATCAAAGGCCTTAATAAGATCTTTACAAAAATTAACCCTATTAATACCTTTATGCAGGAAGGAGCCCAGATATTTCATTGGAAGGTTCACCTTGGTCATTTGCAGAAGTTTCTCCATTTTTCTGATGCTGCACAGTGAAGTTCTTCCACAAACAAAATTACTTTTATCAAAATTAATAGCTTGTCCTGATGCTCTCTGATACAGCCCAATAATTTTTTTGAAATTCATAAGAGATCTGGCCTCCCCATTAATAAAAATCAGAATATCATCAGCAAAACATAGGTGGGATACAGGGTAGCCAGTTTGTCCAATCCAGTAAGGCTTACTTTGAGATCGAGAAATAAGAGATTTAAGCCCCCTGGATAGAGCTTCAGTGGCTAGGATAAATAAAAAAAAGGGGAGAGTGGGTCCCCTTGTTTAACCCCCCTCATGGGCTGGAAGAAACCCCTAGGAACACCATTAATGAGCACAGAAAAATGGGATGCCTTAAGGTGATTTAATACCAAAGTAGTAAACTGGGAAGAGAACCCAAACTTATGAAGCACACCCTCCAGAAAGGTCCAAAATTTTCATGTGTACTAGAAAAATTTATGTGTATACTTCGAATTTAGTTGGACGGTGTGCTTCAAATTTACCAAAATTTATGTGTATACTTCAAATTTTTCTTGACATTTTCTATGTGTATTTAAGGGTAAAGATGAAGCTCTTGAAAAATTCTTAATTTTTAAGAATGAAATAGAGAATAAAATTGGCAAGAAAATTAAAAGGTTAAGATCTGATACGGGAGGAGAGTATACTTCGAATTTAGTTGTACTAGCTAGAATGCCTAAAATATGGTATAGTACATGATGAAGAAACACCTCCTTATTCACCACAATCAAATGGGGTAGCTGAACGGAAAAATAGAACTTTTAAAGATATGATTAACAGTTTGTTAGAGAATTCTGGATTACCTAAGTTTATGTGGGGAGAAGCATTGAATACGGTTTGCCATATTCTGAATAGGATTCCAATGAAACATAAAGATAAGTGTCCATTTGAACTCTTGATAGGCAGAAAACCAAGTTTGAAATATTTTAAGGTGTTGGGCTATCTTGCAAAAGTATTAGTCCCTGAACACAAAAGAAAGAAACTTGGGCCTAAAACTGTTGATGCTACTTTTATTGGTTATGTTGAACATTCTTATGCATTGAGATTTTAGGTTATTAAATCTGAAATTTATGGCATAGATGTTAACACTATTGTAGAACTTCGTGATGCTATTTTCTTTGAAGATGTTTTTCCGATGAAAACGGGTGTGCCCCAAAATACTTCTTTTAAAAATCAAGAAAGTACACTTAATTCAATTCCTGATCAAGTGGAAAAGATGACAAATGTTGGGGTAGAATCTAATAGTTTTAGTCATATTGATTTTGAATCAAATGATCTAGATGAGCCTAGGAGGAGCAAATGAGCTAGGATCACTAAGGATTTTGGAAGTGATTTTGTCACTTACAATATTGAGGGTTATCCAATTTCCTTTAGAGATGCAATGGCTACATCTGAAGCCATCTATTGGAAGGATGCAATTAAAAGTGAAATGGACTCTATTGTTCAAAATGGAACACGGAATCTTGTTGACCTTCCTCCTGGTTGTACAACTATTGGATGTAAATGGATTTTAAAAAAGAAGTTAAAACCAGATGGAACCATTGATAAATATAAGGCCAGATTAGTCGCTAATGGCTATAAACAAAAAGAAGGTATTGATTTTTCGATACATATACTCCTGTTGCAAGAATGACTACAATAAGAATGCTTATAGCCTTGGCCTCCGTATATGGTCTTAAAATTCATCAAATGGATGTTAATACAGCTTTTCTTCATGGTGACCTTGAAGAAGAAATTTATATGGATCAGTCTGAGGGATTTGTGGCAAAAGGCAATGAGAGAAAAGTTTGAAAATTAATTAAGTCCTTATATGGACTTAAGCAAGCCCCTAAGCAATGGAACGAAAAAATTGATAAAATAATTTCTTCGTTTGGATTTACTCTTATAGATGCTGATCAAAATGTTTATTATAAATGTAAAGGTGATATAAGTATTATTTTATGCCTATATGTTGATGATATGTTATTATTTGTCACTAATGATAATATTATTTTTGAGACTAAGTCATTTTTGAAAACAAAGTTTGAAATGAAGGATATGGGGGTGGCGGAAGTAATTCTTGGGCTAAAGTTGACTAGATCAACCGAAGGCATTTCTATTTCTGAGTCTCATTATATTGAAAAATTAATTGAGAAATTTGGATTTAAAAATAGTAGAGTTGCTAAAACACCCTATGATCCTTCTGTAGCTTTGTATAAAAATGAAAGTGGTGTTCTCGTGTCTCAATTAAAATATTCTCAGGTGATTGGTAGCTTGGGTTACTTAGCTAACTGCACTAGACCTGATATCGCATTTTCAGTGTCTAAACTTAGTCGGTACACTTGTTGTCCAAACAGAACTCATTGGGAGGACTTAGATAGAGTATTTAGATACTTGAAAGAAACTATTTTTTTGGACTTGCATTATGGTAATTATCCTCCTGTTCTTGAAGGATACAGTGATGTAAGCTGGATAGCCAAGAACTCTGTGAGTTATGGGTGTACCGACTATTTGTTTACGTTTGGTGGTGGGGCTGTTGCCTGGAAGTCCACAAAACAAACTGTACTTTCCCGGTCTACTTTAGAGGCTGAATTATGTGCATTAGATACTACATGAATTAGTCCGAGTTACCTATATTCAGCAAGCCAATTCCACCTATCTATTTGCATTGTGATAGTATGAGTACAATTGCAAAAATTAGGAGTACCAAGTATAATCAAAAGACTAGGAGACACATTCAAGTTAGATTAAAAACTATAAGGAAATTTTTGTCTCAAGTTAGATTAAAAACTATAAGGAAATTTGTGACTCAAGGGGTGTTTGCTGTTGATTTTGTTGGATCCAAAGATAATACAGCGCGCGGACCCGTTAACAAAAGGACTTGATTTAAATCAAGTGATAAAATCAAGGTTAGGAATGAGACTGAAATCCAATAATTATTCATCTACGATAGCAACCCAACCTATCTGAGTGGAGATCACATAAAGTAGGTTTAATGTGGTATGAACAAACCGTAGAGTGAAATGTGCATCTCATTAAAATAATTTTTTATGAGTTCTATTCCTTGATAAGCTTTAGAGATGCTGAAATTGCTAAGTTAGTAAGAGATTAAGACTCTGGATGGGATCAAGCTTTAATAACAGAGTGTTAGCAATGCACTCTTGGAGATGCCCAACTATGAAAATGTTACTGTGTGGCCACAATAAGAGAATGTGAGTTTATTCTCGATAATATTCTTGAGACAGGATCGGACGCACGGCCGTAAAGCGTCACCCTATGGATCGTTGTCATTGTCGTTAGTGTGTTGCTTTTATCACACGCCTACACAATCAAGGCTCGAGTTCAAGAACTCTGTTCACTCAGTTCCTGTGGGGGTTAGGGGTAAGAGCTTAGAATTTGGTTCAAACCGGAAGGTACCATATTTGAAAGCACACTATGTCTTCTAGAGTTGAGTCTACAACTATGGATTTGTGGGGGATTGTTGAAAATATGATGGAAAAATATATTTTCAGGGGATTCATTTATGAGTCCTAAGGATAAATGTGTCAAATATGATTTGGAAATAATATATCAAAGTACAACTTTTACTGATTGGATTATAACTAACAAAATAATCCATACTTGTAAAGGTTGTAAAGTGATGTATTAATATGATGAATTTTGTCACCTATAAAATAAAAGCTCTTATAGCAAATTATTTTATCTGATGAGGAACATTATTCAAGTATCATTTTAAATAACTTGAGTTGAGGATTGCTTGCATTTTGACAAAAATTGAGACTAGCAAAATGCGAACAATTTTATTTTAATAAAACGTGCATGGGAGCAAATGTATTCAGTTTTGAATTTAAAATTGAAATGTGAGCTGCTTGAATTGATCCAGCCGTTATATCCATAATGGTGCTTAATATTTTGGATTAGAATTACAGTCATGATTTCCGTTTCATGCATTTGACGAACATCAAATTCTGATTTCCGTTGAAAACAATCTGCTGCATCTCTGTTTGTACTTCGTATTTACAGGAGGTCTTTTCCATGCTCGAAACATTACGTACGTAGAAAGAAGAGTACCTCTCTTTCCCATTCAATAGCCTTTTGTTTATGAAGAAGCATTTGATCGAATTGCCTTCCTTGATCCATATTGCCTCTCCTTCCCCCCCCACCCCCCCCCCCCCCCAAAAAAAAGAAATATTTGCTGTCCATCATATCCTTTCAAGTTAACTCTATTAATCGGCAAATTTGGCAACGGTCGAAGGTTTCAGTCGAGGTAGATACGAGTCTGAAACGTGGTAAGATTATCCTGGGAGCGAGCTAGCCAGACCCGTCTGAATAGCTATCGGGATACGGGGGCTATCTTTCTTCAAGGCCAGTCCGTTTTAACGGGTGATCCTGCGATAAGTTTTCTTATCTTTACTTTTTGTTTATTTTAACTTATTCTAATTATTATTATTATTATTATTATTATTATTATTATTATTATTATTATTATTATTATTATTATTATTATTATTATTATTATTATTATTATTATTATTATTATTATTATTATTATTATTATTATTATTATTATTATTATTATTATTATTATTATTATTATTATTATTATTATTATTATTATTATTATTATTATTATTATTATTATTATTATTATTATTATTATTATTATTATTATTATTATTATTATTATTATTATTATTATTATTATTATTATTATTATTATTATTATTATTATTATTATTATTATTATTATTATTATTATTATTATTATTATTATTATTATTATTATTATTATTATTATTATTATTATTATTATTATTATTATTATTATTATTATTATTATTATTATTATTATTATTATTATTATTATTATTATTATTATTATTATTATTATTATTATTATTATTATTATTATTATTATTATTATTATTATTATTATTATTATTATTATTATTATTATTATTATTATTATTATTATTATTATTATTATTATTATTATTATTATTATTATTATTATTATTATTATTATTATTATTATTATTATTATTATTATTATTATTATTATTATTATTATTATTATTATTATTATTATTATTATTATTATTATTATTATTATTATTATTATTATTATTATTATTATTATTATTATTATTATTATTATTATTATTATTATTATTATTATTATTATTATTATTATTATTATTATTATTATTATTATTATTATTATTATTATTATTATTATTATTATTATTATTATTATTATTATTATTATTATTATTATTATTATTATTATTATTATTATTATTATTATTATTATTATTATTATTATTATTATTATTATTATTATTATTATTATTATTATTATTATTATTATTATTATTATTATTATTATTATTATTATTATTATTATTATTATTATTATTATTATTATTATTATTATTATTATTATTATTATTATTATTATTATTATTATTATTATTATTATTATTATTATTATTATTATTTTCTTTTCTTGCATTTGGCGGTTTGTCTGGTGATTTGTTTAAACTCGGGATTTTTATCTGATTAAAATCGCAATTATAATATTATTTTTCTAACAAAAAGTATGCCTTAAATAATGAATAAATGTTTCTACAGCCACATCGAAATAATGAATTGGATTAGACCAATTGAATAATGAGTTGTCTTGAGTGGTCTCTAATGTCTTTATCTTGTTTATTTGTATTGGTCTAAGTGTTATGTATCGTTATAATAAACTCTTGAAAAGCAATTTTCTATTGTTTACCAAGCCCAATTGACCGCATAAAAGATAAAGAAAATTCATTTTTCTATTTCAATATGCAATATCTACCCCGATAAATTAAACAACTTAAAAGATAAAGCACCCAGAGTGTATGAAGAAGTGATTCAAAACAAGGAGTAATGTTTCAAAATATTGTATTTTTAAATTATTGACTAACCATGAATGGCTTCAAACGTGGTTTTGGAGTAGTCACAATCATCCTATCCTATCCTATCCTATATACCTAAAGGGAGAATCCTTTCTCCTCACAATTTCCCGCTTCTCTCTCCTAATTAAGTCATTAAATAAATAATTGGTCATTACTCCCTTTATTCCTTGCTTTTACTCATCCGTTTCTATGGATGTTGCGCACCCAAAAATGACTCGAAGGTTATTTTTCAGGGAAGAAGGTTATTGGCTAACCTTTCATAATAGAAAGCCAATACTTTTGGAGGTTGCAATAGATCACTAGCCTTTCATTATCCCGCCTAAACATGAATTATAGTCATCCATCCATCTTTAGTATCTACGCCACTGCTCAAGTTTGAATAACCAGACAAAAAAAGGTTCTCTCATATGAACGGTTCATGCTTATCAGTTTATCCTGATTGTCTGATGGTTTAGATAGATCAGATTCATCGCATTATGAACGAATTAGCGCTTCTTTTTCGAACATAGGTACATTTTCGCTTTAAACTTTGTCCACGAGTAGCTATTTTTTGCTACGTCTTTCATTCCAGTTTTGAATTTTATTGACCATTTTTATCAAAAGATTTGAACCATAATACAACAATAATATAGTTAATAAATTGTATTATTAAGACTTACTAAAAAAGGCATGCCCGAGAAAATGTTATTCTGTTAAAAAGTAAAAATAAATAGAAACACATTTTCATTTATAATATACAAATAGTATTAACACATTAATATTTCTGTGCGCTATAATAAAGGAAAAGTTGAAGACTTATTCCAATAATTTCATGATGTGTCGGTTTTTGGTCATGAAACATTATTCACTTGCAAATTTGATTTTATAATTAATAATTAATAAATTTATCAACATTAAGAACGTATAAACCAGTAAGTGCACTTTCCAATGAAAATTATAGTACGAGTGACATTTTTCTAATAAGACTTCTACCGGAAATTGTACTTTCTGGCAGACAATCTTCAACATGGAAAATTTTATTATTTACATGACCAGATATGAGTATTGATTATATAAAATTACCGGAATAAAAAGGAACATGTCAATTTAAAAGCCTATTTATTTGTCTTTATTTGAGTATTATATTTATTAATTCTTTGGAAGAGTTGTAATTTAATTGGGAAAGTACATTATATTTTATATTTTAGCATTAAACTTTTTGTTTGTATGATTTTTTTTTTAAAGATTCAAATTGTACGTCAGTGGTGAAATTTGAATTTCAGTCGTTCAAATTAAGATGATGGTTTTAAGAGGGAAGATTTATTTAAGTCAAGTTTGTGATATGCAATTTGGGGTACAGTGGATCCGTCCACCATTTGAAATCCGTGTCACGGTATTTTGGGTGGGACTGAGCCAATTCATTCCTTGGTTTCTTCTTCTGCGGTCTCGCATTTACTTTTTCAGAATTATTATTACTTAAATAAAACTTATTTATAAAATATACGGAGTAATTAATACAAGTATTTACTATAGTATAGTCTTACAATCATTTAAGTATAAAAATTGAATATAAGTTACTATGATTAAGTTACCATTATAGTCACTACACTTAGGTCACATTTTTTAAGCCATGTCTATTTTAATCACATATATGTAATTATTTCTATGAATAATATATGTACTTGCAATTATAAATTCATGACAAAGTTTAAAGACTTAATTACAAGTATTAAAATAGAATTGCAAAAATGAAAGTAACCACATTGTCTATTTAAATAATTTGTTTTACACTTTCATTAAAAGCATCTTACATGTTTTTTTATAATAATATAAAAATCAAAGCCAATCAATTTTTTTTACAGTAAATGTTTAAGATAATTATTCATGTGCGAAGTATAGCCTGACTCAATCCCAGATATGGTTGACGACCATTGGAGACTTGGAGTTGTTCGATTTTCCAGGTAAAATCGTGTCTGATTCCAAAAAGTGTCCACCCTATATGCAATGAGTCAGAAACAATGGAGTCTTATACAAATCGATCGAGTTGGTTATTTGCAAAAGGTTCATAATAAATTGTAATTTTAGTTGGTTTTTTTATTGTGATTGCATGTATAACTAAATTGTGATTTCTATAACCATTTTTTGCAAGTTGACAAGGTTCATTAATATTTATTGGCACATTCCCGTGCTACGCACGGGTGGATTGCTAGTTTGCCTACTGATGCGATGGTGAAAGCAACAAAGAAGTATAAGAATGCTTAACTCTTAATGCACTCCTTTATTACTTGTTTGACTAAACCTAAATAAAGGAATACAGAAAGCCTAGCTATAGAGCGATCTGGTGAACAAGTAATAGCAATTTTGTCAAATTTATGGCTGATGGAGTTTAATCCAACTACGAGAGTTAAATATACGTAGTACGTAGAAACAATATGGAAAATTATGGCAGCGTAAGACAACATTACTCTTATTCCGGAGGCCAATTGCCGATTTTCAAATCCCCCCTTGGTAGGGTGTTTACTGTGAAATAATGGACACAGGTTACCCTGATGAGGGTCCTGAGAGATGTATTTATAATAATAAATCAGTTTCCAAAATACAGAATGATTCCTAATTAATATTAGCTATTACACCCCCTCAAACTGTGCGGGAGATACAACGCGCAGGTTGTCTTTTAAAAAATGAAATTGCTAACTAGAGAGACTCTTTGTAAAAATATCAGCTAACTGAAGATGAGTTGGAACATATGTAACAATTAAATCTCCATGAGCCACCCTCTCACGAACAAAATGGTAATCAATCTGAATGTGCTTGCTCCGAGCATGTTGAACAGGATTGGCCATAAGATAAGAGGCCGAGTCATTGTCACACAGAAGACGAATTGGTTCACGGACCGGGTAACCTAATGCGAACAAGATAGATCTGATGTGTATGGTGTCCTGAACTGTATAAGTAATGGCCCGATATTCGGCCTCTGTAGAAGATTTGGACACAGTAGGTTGCTTTTTGGATTTCTAAGAAACAAGATTAGGACCCAAAAAGACTGCAAACCCGGTAGTAGAACGTGAACTATCAGGACAACCAGCCCAATCAGCATCAGAATAAGCCAAAATTCGTATAGGTGTAGAAGATTTCTGAAGCCATAATCCATGATCAATGGTGTGCCCTGCAAATATCTAAAAATGCGCTTGACTGCAAGCATATGAGTAGTACGAGGAGCATGCATAAACTGAGACACTAAATGAACTGCATAAGTAATATCAGGTCTTGTCAAAGTTAAATACTGTAATCCACCTACCATACTACGGTACTCAGTAGCAGCGGCTAGTAACTCACCATCCGTGAGGGACAAAGATGTTCGAGTGGCTAGTGGAGTTCGCACAGCTTTTAAGGTGTGGAAATGGAACCGATGAAGAAGGTCGGAAACATATTTTTGTTGGGAGAGAAATAAACCTGTGGGAGTGCGAACTGCCTGAACTCCTAA